TGCTGCGCTCCTGCTTCAGCCCCTGCGCTAAGTTTAGCGCATCAAAACAGTGCACTAGCACTGACCATGCCGTGCCGGTAGAGTTCCGGTAGGCCGATCCCTCAACTGAGGCGGATACCGGTACTTATACCGGCGGGCAATGGTCTGGCCTCAACGCTGCGAGGCCAGGCCAGACCCTGGACCGTCCAGATGGACGGTTCAGCCTCAATCGGCGGGCGGCAGCTTCAAGAGCGYCGCCAGGCCCAAACGAAGTGTCGTTTGGGCCTACCCGATGGGTGACAGTCCAAGATCAGGCCTTTAGGGCCTGTAACCCCAAAGGTCGGGCCTTTAGGCCCTGGTGTGTCCCTCCGGCCCTAAGTCGGGTCYGGTAGGACTCGTGTGAGTCGAAGATGTAACATGGAAGCACCCCCCCTTCAACAGAATTGCACAGATTGCTGCTGTCCATGCCAAGGAGACACCCCAAAATACACCCCTCTCCCCTTCCCCCCCCGCTCTCCCCTCAAAGAAAAAAAGAAAATAAAGTTTAATAAACTGATGGTTACGGACCTCAATATGATCATCATGATGATTACAGTGGTGTAGATTGATATGAAAGGGGTTTTCCTTCTTAATCAGTTGTTGAGTCAATGCACTATGTAGACATTCTTTTTTTTAAGGAAAAGATGACAGATGAGAGAGTTTCTACCTCTACTTCCTGAGCTTCCTCCCATGTTTGATTTTCTTTTTTTGCTCCCGTTTGTGCTACAGAAATTGGAATGGGAAAGCTAGCCAGTGGCCGAGAGCGTGGAAGCGGCAGATGACTTACAGTTGAGTACAGATGTTGAGAGTAGGTGGTGCCTTGAACAGTGTTGAATGCAATGCTCACAATCCACTGTTTGGGAAAAGAATTACATTGGAATGGTTATTTGAACTTATTTCATAGTAAATGTATACATTTTTTAATCAATCTGGCTAACTGGCTAGCTGTCTGACCTGTCATTCTTCCATGATCTCCTACTTGGTGGGCTGATGGTGCCTGCCTTCTGTGCGGCTTGCAGAACATGGGCAGTCTGTGGTCGCACAGGCAGGGGCAGTGGGAGTGATGCAGACATGGACGCTCCTGGAGGAGGTGTGGGGCATGAAGAGCAAAGAGGTTGGCTATGGAAGGAATAAAACAGCCTACTTGTTACTCCCTCCAAGATGTTCACAGTCCTTGGGGGCCTAATGAGCCCCCTTTCGAAACCACGTGGAGACAAAACACTGGTGTCGCCTCTTCCTACGTGTTCAGTTCTATAGCTGATGGAGATGAAGCGAATGCTATCAATAAGGTAAAGAAGTCAATGAAATGTGGTCGAGCCTCTTGTGCAATATTAGCCCTTCTGTGTTTTCTCTTAAAGCTCATTTTGCCTACTACAGCGTCTGGAGGTTCCAGTCTGCAGATGATGTTTGTGACACTGTAATATATGTTGCTTTCATCTTTTTTCAATTTATTATTATCTTTTGTTTTTAACTTTTAAAGCAACAAGTGCACCTGGCACGGCGATGCCGCGCTCCAGGTCTGACCCCTATACAACACAGGATCGGATCGGGTGGCCCCATGCGGGACAGGCCATATACTGTGGGCTGGACGGTGCCAATCAATCACTCAACATTCAACATGGAACATTCGGAGGCCCATAAACACCGGAGTGTAAGTGGAGCGAGGCCCATACCTCTCTCTCTCTCTCTCTCTCTCTCTCTCTCTCTCTCTCTCTCTCTCTCTCTCTCTCTCTCTCTCTCTCTCTCTCTCTCTCTCTCTCTCT